TTGTTGAAGAGTACTGAAAGCACCATGGACTGCCAGAAAAACAAACAAATCTGTCCTGGAGGAAGTGCAGCTGGAATGCTCCTTAGAAGCAAGAATAGCCAGACTTTATCACATCTCCTTTGGTCATGTGGACAAAAGGAACCATTACCTGGGGAAGGATATCATGCTCAATAAAGTGGAGGGTCAGCAAAAAAGGGGAAGCCCCTCAACCAGATGGATTGACACCATGGCTGCAACGGTGGCCTCAAGCACAGCAAGGACTGTGAGGCTGGGGCAGGACCGGGCAGGGGTCATTGTCGTACGATGGCTGCTGTGAGTCAGAACCAACTGGACAGCATTTAACAACACAGCAAAGGCTAGTGATCATTCAGGTGTTTGTCATCCACCTGAATGGCTTCTTCAGACAGCCTTTAGAGAGATGCCAGTCAAAACAATGAGTTATCATCTCACCCTGACAATAACAACAATGATCAGAAAAACAGAAAACAACAAGTGCTGGCGATGGTGTGGAGAGATGAGAACTCTCACACACTGCTGGTAGAATTGTAAATGGTACAATGCCATGGAAAACAGTAAGACACTTCCCTAAAAAGTTTGAAATAGAGATACCATATGATCCAGCAATCCCACTACTAGGTATATATGCTAAAGAAATAAAAGCCAGGACACGAATAGATTTATGCACATCCATGTTCATCACAGGGCTATTCATAATGGCAAAAAGATGGGAACAACCTATGTGCACGACAACAGATGAATGGATCAACAAACTATGGTGTATACACACAATGGAATATTACACAATGTTAAAGAACAACAATGAATCCATGAAGCATCTCATAACTTGGATGAACCTGGAGGACATTATGCTGAGTGAAATAAGTCAATCACAAGAGGACAAACATCGTCTGAAACCACTACTATAAAAAGTCGAGAAAAGTTTACATACAGAACGAAAGACTCTGATGGTTACCAGGGATGGGACGGGGAATCAGGAAAGTCACTAATGAGAGGGTAGACACGTGTTGACTTAGGTGAAGGGAAAGACAAACTCCAGTAACGGGAAGGTCAGCAGAGCATGCCCGAGGCCCGGAAAGACGCTGGGCGGTACCCAGAGGGGAAGGCAGCAAGGATGCGTGCTGTGGCGTATGCAGTCCTGCCGTAACAGTCATTACAAACAATAGTACATGAGTGGGTACACAGGCAGACATGCGAAATGAACAGGGTGGGATGGTGCATGGAGCACACCCACGAGGCTAGACCTGGGCTGGGCAGGGGCCACTTCTCCATACGTATCTGTGCATACTGCAGATACACCCATGTAGACAGTAGAACATGACAGGAGCAAAGGCATAAAAACTTCTTAGCCACAACAGAACTTCCTGAGGAGCTGAGTCACTGGGCTTGGAGGCACTTAGGACCATGCCACAGTCTTGGGTGACATCTAGGTCAACTGACATCTACCATAATCCACAAAGACAATGTTTTACACCCCACTTTGCTGAGCAGAGAATGGGGTCTTTAAAGCTTGTAAGCTGCCATCTAAGATGCAGCTACTGCCCTCTCCCCACCTGGAGCATAAAAGAGTGAAGAAATTGCAGATTTAAGGAGGCAATCCAAACGGACCACGTGAATCACAGTCCCCTTGAGCCTGAGACCAGAAGCACTAGATGGTGCCAAGCCACCACCACCAAACACTCTCATAGGGATCACAATAGAAGGTCCTGATGGAGTGGGAGAAAAATGGAGAACACAATTCAAACTCATGCAGAAGATCAGACCCACCAGTCTTCTAGACACTGGCAGAACCCATAAGTCTATGGCCCTTAGACACCCGTCAAACCTGGAACTGAGTCCACCCTAGGGATCACCTTTCAGTCCAACAGTCGCAGGCCTGGCAGGTGAACAGTATCACCTGGGAGGAACTACTCTTTAGACAATCGACCGAGACCGAGACCGAAGGCCAGCATTTGCCCAAAAACAAAGGTCAGAAGGCAGGAAGGGGCGGGAAAGAAGGATGAATGGGAACGAGGAACCCAGGGAGGAGGTGGGGAGAGGGCCGTTACACAGACGGAATTGCAACTAATGCCATGAAACTGAATGTGTACAAATTGTTGAATGGGAGACTAGTGTGCTCTGCAAAGCTTCACCCAAACCACAGGAAAATGTTCTAATTAATTAATTCAATTATTTGTTCTCAAAAAAAAGACTCAAGCCATACCAGATCCCAAGCCAGACAAGCAGCCGTGTGGGTAATGACACAGGACAGTGTAGCTATGTATGTCGGTTTCTTTCCTCCAGTAACTGGCTTAAAAATCTACTGCCCAAGACAATATTTCTAAGGTTTTCTTGTTGAGCATACATCGTGCTTGGGTCACTTTTGTCTTACAGCCACTTGGCATGACAGAGTTGAACTTCCCCTGAGGTTTTCCTGGCTGTAATCTTATGGGAGCAGGTCTCCAGGCATCTCTGTTGGAGATGCTGGCTGGGCTCAAACTGCCAATATTTCAGTAGCAGCTGAGCCACCAGAGCTGTTGTTGTGTCACCAGGATGCCCTGTTGGGCCGACAGCATAGGAACAGCATGTGCTTGACAATAACAACACAAAGGAGGGATGGGAACAAAGCAATAGCAGAGTACAGAAATGCCTCCACATGGTAACTCAGCTCCACCAGGAGAAATAAGGAGAGAAAAAAGGATATGTGAGAAGGCTACTATGAGGAAAGGCATCTCCGTAAACAATGTGTTTGCTCCTTTCTTCTCTAAACGTCTTTAAAAGACATAAGGCTGCCTAAAACAATAATTGTGACAACGTACTACATGGTTTGTAACATATGGAGATGTAAGATGCACCACATTTTTATAAAAATAACACGTGCTTTCTGCATATATTTGCCGACAGCTCCCTCCCTCGAGGAAGTATTTTTGTAAGTGTGCTATGCTAATTTTTTTCTTTTTACAGCAACATGTAAAATAAAAATTGGCATAGTAGCACCTATGAAAATACTTCCTGGGAGGAGCACTGGCAAATGAATGTGAAAGGCCCGTGTTATTTGCATAAAATTGTGGTCTAACAGAAAGCTCAAAACTAAAACTCACTGGCATGGAGTCGATTTGGACTCCTAACAACCCCTCCTTGGGTTTCCGAGGCGGTATCTCTACAGAAGTAGATTGCTCATTCTTCCTTGCAAGGAGCAGCTGGTGGGTTTGAACCGGCAGTCTTCTGGTTAGTAGTCAAGTGCCTTAGACACTACGCCACCAGAGCTCCAAAAATAGCACAAAAATGGAGAATATGGGACTCTATAGGAGTAAACTTTCTATATCCTATTCCAGTTGAGTGATTATAAATATGAAGTAGATTCTGCTAAGTTCAGCACTAGAGCAACCACTATGAAAGGAAAATATGTGGTTCAAAATAATTTTAAAAGTGAAATTGGGCACCAGGAAATATACATGTGACACAGAAGGAGAAAATAAAGGATGAACAGAGGAACAATGTGCTCATAAAACACACAGACAAGGAAAAGCAAAATGGCGGGCATGGGTCCAACCATATCAACTATAACGTCAAGTGGGAATGAGCCAAACCATCCAACACAAAGACAGAGTTTGTTGGACTAATTTAAAAAACAAACAAGATCCACCTATAGACTAGGAGCTCTGGTGGCGCAGTGCCTAAGGCATCTGACTGCTAACCAGAGGGCTGGCAGTTCAAACCCACCAGCCACTCCTCAGAAGGAAGGTTGGGCAATCTACTTCCGTAGTACGGCCTCGGAAACCCAAGGAGGGGTCACTATGAGTCTGATCTGACTCAACAGCAGTGAGTTTGGTTTTTGGTTTTTGAGTCAACATTTCACTGAAGGTTCCAGACAGGGAAATAGTCAAGAACAACACAGACGAGACATCCAAACTGGAAGAGAGAAAGGGAAGTTCTCTCTAGTCACAGGTAACAGAAAACTCTAAGGAATTCGGCTGTCTCATACCTAGTGCCTTCTGGGAGAGGGGAGCTGTTTGTAGTGCCCGTCACCCTCTTCCATGGCCCCCGTGCTGCCCTAACACAAACAGAGATGAAACCCACCCAGAGTGGAGCACCTGATTCCTTTCAGCCTCACAAGCTGTCTCCTCAGCTGCTGAGACATCTGGCTTTCCAGCCACAGAAGTAAGCCTTTACCATAAGAAGTCAATAGATATGCAAAAATATGGAGAAGCGAAGGCACGGCCATGAAAGGATGAAAGCAAACACGGTGAAGCAGGTCCTCTACAGGAAGGGTCCGAAAGGTGATGAGCGGCAGGGTCGGGCGGCTGTGCTTATGATTGGTTTCTGGTACTATTTGCCTTTTTAAACTATGTGGCCGTGATGTTGATAAGAACTGAATATTAGTTGAAAATAACAAATGGATAGCTAAGCGACCCCAAAAGTTTATTTTGAAATTAAGATTGGTAAGTAATCCATAACGGCGGGGATTCTGGGCACCGAGACAGAACACAGGTGTCCTTCCCTTCCCCCCAGGCCACCTGCAGGCGCACCTTCCTGGGGAGAGCAGGCGACCAAGGCGGAGGAGGACCTGAGCTTCGTCTGAAGTGAGGACGAGCGAGTAACACACACCTAAGAGCTGGCAGTGTCCCATCCCCGGAAAATCCCAGAAAAGCTAAGGAACCAGAATTGAGTTACTATTCATAGAACCAAACATTGGGGAAGAGGTCACACTTAGACACCTGAGAAAGGGGGTGGTAGAGCCAATGGGAGGCCGTGGAGCAGGAAAGCACACCTGCAGCATGACTCAGGAGAAGGCCTTAAGCAGGAAGGCGTCTGTCCGTACGAGATCACCTGGCCCTCCAGGCAGGTATATAAGGGCTCCCGGCACAGGACACTGCACACCTGAACACCTCCTTCTCTACCTGCTCCTCTGACCGACTCCATCCCCAACCCGCCAGAATCATGGGCTGCTGTGGCTGTTCCGGAGGCTGTGGGGGCTGTGGCTCCAGCTGCTGCGTGCCCGCGTGCTGCTGCGAACCTGTGTGCTGCTGCAAGCCCGTGTGCGGCTGCGTGCCTGCCTGCTCCTGCTCCAGCTGTGGCTCCTGTGGGGGCACCAAGGGGGGCTGCCAGTCCAGCTGCTGCAAGCC